CCAATTCCCTTCCTTAATTGTAACTGTGAAAGACTATGACAGATAATAAAATACAGGTAGACCAAAAGTTAGGTGAGAGTTGAGTGGAATAAGCCACAGGAAGATGACAGGTAAACTCAAAAGATGAGTTTTCATAGACATTATGAAAAAGTCGCTATTGCATTTGCTAGCTCACTCTTTTGAGGACTCTATTTTTGTACAAATTGACTCAAGCCTTCAGAAGGAGTGATCTTTAAAAGGGGGTGGAAAGGAATCAAAGGTGTTCCAAATCTGGATGAGTGCAACACAATTTTACTCTAAGTTAAAACTGTATGGTAGCAATACAAACTGTTTACTAGATTTATTTATTTAAAGATACCTCCACAAAAACCACCACAGTGGTAATCATTCCAGAGCTGTGCGCAAGAGATGCTTTGAGTCAAGGAAATGTCGAGATGGAAAATACCTGCGGCTATAAATAAGGCCAGTAGTTTTCTCTGCAATACCATCTCAAATGAAAGTGAATTTACTGCTTTATGCCATGTCATAGATTTCTAGATTTCAAGTCCTCCAACTCAGCCAAATCTACTGAGAAACTCTATGCGAGTCAGTGAAGCAGAATTTAGAAATGAGAGGTCCTTTGTATTACTCACTGTGCACATGGTCATACTCACAAGGTAGCATCGTTCTTACTATATGAATTGTGATATTACATTTTTATTGGCTGTCAGACCTTCACATCAAAAGAATTCAACTACTGTTACTATCATTTGGAACTTCATGGATAAAAAGCTGAGCATCTGACAGATGTAGTAAGTGCTACTTTTTGGGCTGCACACAGAGCCTGATGGAAGCCCCGTGCCTGTAAGGAAACCTACCACACAAGAGCACCCAGGCTGTGATCCATGATTAAGGCTCAAAGCTGTTCCTATGGAATTACACAGGGACCATCACTCTTAAGACACAGCAACAGTCAGTGAGAAACCACAACACAATTCTTAACTCCTATTTAAAGTCTGCTTAATAATGAAGCATTTAATAATGCAATCAGTGCTCCTCCATGCTAAGTCTTCTCCAAGTCACTGGAGAAGCATCGGATCCTCCTCCCACTTCTGTGGCATCTCTCAAGGTCAAGGATGGAGGGTTTGTTCTGGGTCTGGTCAAAACGTGGATTTAACATCACATTTTCTCACGCAGCTTCAGTGTGCCACCTCTGTCATATGCAACACAACACTCAAAATATGAGCTCTGTTCAATGCCTGCCATCCATCTGCCCTATTTGTCCTACGCAAACTCAACGTACGGCAGCAGCTCAGCCCCTTACTCCATGTTTTTCTCTGTTTTGCTATCTCATGTTCTGTCACCAGTGTCACCAGATCCCAGCCTTCAGCACCATTTCTCTGCATCTCCCCATGGGATGAAAAGCAACTCTTCCCCCTGCAGGGCCCAGGACACCTGGCCTTTCAGCTAACCTGTCTACACCCGCCTACCCTCCCTCATTCCAGCCCCTACCCCCGAGCCTTACTTTTGCTCTGACACTTGGAAGTCATGACTTATATATTAAAACAATTCTGAAGAAATCAATAGTGTGTATAAAAGCAGCATCCTGAGCACATTTGTCTGTTTTCAGTCTCCCTCAGAACCTAAGTACTTTGTAGCAGGAGCCACCTTCCTTCCATTCCAGCATGTGCCCAGTGCTTTGGAGCACCACTCTCATATATACTTGCACTGGCATCATTTGCAGTCTTCACGACAATGTTTTGCAATCCAGCAGTAAAAATGGACAGGAAATAGGTTCCAAACATGTTCCAGTTGGGCTCACGTTAAAACAGGGGTAGTAGATAGCTGTCCTTCAAAGTACATTTTGCTTCAAATAACTGTGTCAGTAGGCAGACATCCTAGTGACGGACATCTTATTTACAAAGTAAAAGTCCCTACAGGCTTACATGAGTTGCCAGCTGAAAACAGAGCGTACAGGACCTCATAACTTATGGCCTTTCCTGCCAAGAAAAAACAGCCTAAGTTTATTAAGGGGGAAGGAAACAGACAAAAAAAAGACAAACAGCATTGCATGTGGCAACATCCTTGTGCGCTTAACCTTGCAGCGCCGCAGCCGATGCGCAGTCAGTGCAGGGAGGCACCGACATCCAGCGGCCATCTAGGGGCTCCGCAGCCCTTCTCCATGGCGCGGGCAGGGCTTCGCCCACCACAGGCACTCACCCACCAGCCTGCCCAGGAGATAAGCAGCTAAACACTACGCTGTTAACTCGAATGTAACTTTGGTAGTTCAAATGTCTAAATGCACAAGTACCATCAGTTGGGCATTCAGCATCCCAAGGCAACCTCTTGTCTAGCTGCCAAAAGTTAAGCTCGAGCCAAGCAACAACAGTCTTGAAAACTGCAGAGGAGGTTAAGAAGCTGCAGATAATTTAAAAGTTTAATTTCATACCAGCTCCAGACCCAGTAAGGTAAGACTGAAACATTCAAAGTTTTCTTCTCTCAGAAAGAAGTCAACATCATCTTTGTTTCTGCTCTCCCTACAGTCTCCTGTGACAAGTGTGCAAACATAGGCACATCGTCACTTACATATAATAATGCTTTATTCCTACTCAGCATTCTTCATCTAATGAAAATTAGAGTAAATGAGTAAAATGTTATGCCATTAGAAGATAGGTAGCCCTGCAAATTAACTAGACAGACCTTCATAAAAATGTTCAGTACCCAGAACTGGGGACCACATCTTTAAGAGAGCCAGTTAGGGGCCAAAACACGCATGTTTTCAAGGTAACCGAACCTCAAGTCATGAAGTACCATAAAACAAAGGCAGTAATAGCAGACAACCTACAATAAGAACAAAACAATTACCTTACTTTCAGAAGTCTCCCTACCAGCACTGCCTTTTGAAACACAAAGAAATGGTTTGTTCGTACAACTGTAGCTGAAGTCAGAAAAACTTTTTGGAATACAGACAGGGAAAAGGAAAAAAAAGATACGAATACAATTGCAGAAGGGCAACAGCACAGAACCACATCATCTGACCCCAAAAGCAGATGAAACCAAAAAGCCAGCACTCCAACAATAAAGCATATCACACCCTACCCATTTTAAAAAAACAAAAAAACTTGTGTGTTGAACTCCTGATTTCATCCAAGTGTTAGGGTTAAGAACTTTCAACAACTTCATCTGCCTGCTATAACAGCTCTCCTTCCTCTATTTCTCTCTTATTACCATAATGGTGTATTTGAAATACAAAGACAGCTCTGGCAAGCATTTCACTCTTACCTACTGGTTCTCAGCTTCACATAGAGTTTGTTGGCAGGTATATCTCTCTGGAAATACTTCCAGAGATGTTATTCCACCAACACTATATTCTTCTTGTTCATTGCAAAGTCATTAAAATGCTGATTCACAATTATTATGCAGTATTTCTGTGCAATAGAGGGTCTTGAATTATGACCATTGTTGTGGTTTAACCCGGCAGGCAGCTAAACACCACACAGCAGTTTGCTCACTCCCCACCCCCTGCAGTGGGATACGGGAGAGAATCAGAAAAAAAAAAAAAAAAGTAAAATTTGTGGGTTGAGATAAAGACAGTTTAATAGGAAAGGAAGGGAAAATAATAATAATAAAAGAATATACAAAATAAGTGATGCACAATACAATTGCTCACCACCTGCCAACCGATGCCCAGCCCATTCCCGAGCAGCGGTCACCACCCCCCGGCCAACTCCCCTCAGTTTATATACTGAGCATGACGTCATATGGTATGGAACATCCCTTTGGCCAGTTTGGGTCAGCTGTCCTGGCTGGGCCCCCTCCCAGCTTCTCGCTGGCAGGGCATGAGAAGCTGAAAAGTCCTTGACTAGTGTAAGCACTGCTTAGCAACAACTAAAACATCGGTGTGTTATCAACACTATTCTCATACTAAATCCAAAACACAGCACTGTACCAGCTACTAGGAAGATAAAGTAGGAAGTACTTTATACTTCCTAGTATCTTCCAGCTACTAGGAAGATACTAGGAGAAAAAACTCTATCCCAGCCAAAACCAGGACAACCATCAATCACTGAGAACATATAGTCATGAACAAAAGACAGGTGTATTCAAGAAACAAAATTTTTCTTTTGTTGTTGAGTGCACAAATATCCATGAAGTTTCAGGATTCTACGTGATGATTTCAAGAAATTCAATATCAGTACTTAAAAATCAAGCGTGCTCTCCTTTCATCCATTTACTACTGCATACTAGCTAGAAAATACTAGTATGAAGTTTCATTTACTAGGTATCCCTCCCACTGCTTAGGTGTATTTCAAGCTATACTTAACCAAATTTTGGTTAAGTATTTAACCAAATATTTGCATAAAAGTTTTTAAAACATTAACATGAGCAGCTATGACAGGTTCACTAATATTTTCCACTTTAAAATTTTACTTCAACAGTATATTATTAAAGCTGCCTCTTTCTTCTTTTCCTCAAACACTTTCCAAGGAAACTCAAGCGTTTGACATTATACATAAGCCCAGTGACATTATCATCTGCACTGCACAAAAGAAAGAAAAAAAAAAGAGAGTAAAACATTAACAATTTCTGATAAAGTTTTTAATGACCTCTGAAAATGGTTCTAGGAGCACAGGTAAAAATATCAAAAAACATAAGAGCATATAGTTTTAGAATATTTTACTATACTTAATAACCTATTAATTTACTACTTTCTACAATAGATGTAAAAGTTATCAAACAATAATCCAGAATTTTACTTGGCAGCACCCAAAAAACAAACCACAAAACATTGATAGATCATTTCTCCTAAATGAGGTTTACAGTACATCGAACTGAAGAATTCAATCACAACAGCAGAGCTGTTTTCTCCTAATAAACCAATTGTCAAGTAGTAAAGTAAAAAATACACCAAGAAAACACAAAGCTTTTGTATCAAATATACACATACACACAATTCTCATAAGTAAAAATAAAATCCATTGCCTACAGATTTCGAAGTGAGAGGAGAATGTAGCCATTACCTCTTGGTTATCTTTATTCTGATTTGCCCAGAAAATCTTATGATAAAGTGTCTCCATTGAATTGCTGGAATCTGATCTGTCAAAACAATGCCGATCCAACACTTCTAAGGTGTGCAAAACT